TCTCAGTAGCTGTTGCTAATAAGTCTTAAACCTGTTTAGTATGTTAAGTGCGCTTGAAGTGTGCGGTGTTAAATCTTATCAAGGGTAAAACAGGACTGGTCTACATAAGTAGTCCACGTGACCATCGACGTTACAGTTTTTCGTTTTATTGTCGCCTTATATTTATATTGTTTTATTGAGTCTAGGTTAGTATTATTTATTAATTTTTAGTAATTTGTAGTATATAGAATACATTTCAGAAAAAACTATGTCTGACCTAAAAAAAGACGCATGGAAAGAAACATGGACCCGGATGTATGGTTGAGATGGTTCAACGAGCTATCAAGTGGGGAAGAGAGCCCTATTGATAATATGAGTAATTTCGAGGATGATGTCGATAGAGATATGGATGCTGCTGAAAGGAGTGATAACGAGACAGAATCTGAACTAGAATTATCGGAGATGGAAGAAAATATGTTGTCAGACGATATGTTGTCAGACGATTTGGATGAAGTACGTCCATCAAATTTTTATCTTGGGAAAGATAAGGTTACTAAATGGAAGTAAACTAGATCCAATGTACAAGTTCGTGTCCGTTCTCATAATATCATCAAACTTTTTCCCGGTACAAAAGGTATGGCACGTAACGCTGCAAATGAAATCGAATGCCTAAACTTATTTTTGAATTAAACAGTTATCAGAATAATAACTGTTTCAACAAATATATATATTCAAAAGATTGGAACTAAGTACCAAAGGAAGCAAGACGCAAGAAAAACTGATGAGACTGAAATTAGCGCATTTATTGGTATTTTGTTTCTGATTGGCACACTCAGAAGCTCAAGAAAAAATGTAAAAAAAAATTGGGGTAATTCGAAAGGAAATGAGTGAGAAGAGGTTTCGATTTCTTGTGAATTGTATAAGATTTGAAGTCGTGGGGACAAGAAATGAACGAAGAGAAATCGACAAATTGGCGCCTATTAGGGAACTTTTTAAAAATTTTCTAATCAATTTCCAAAGTAACTTTATTGCCAGTGAATATTTAACTGTAGATGAGCAATTATTGGCTTTTAGGGGACGTTGCGCATTTAAACAATATATTCCAAGCAAGCCAGCCAAATATGGCATAAAAATGTTTGCGCTGGTAGATGCAAAAACGTCTTATACCTTTAATTTGGAAACTTATGTGGGAACTCAGCCCGAAGGTCCATACAAATTTAACAATAACGGCGAAGAAATAACACTTCGATTGGTAGAGCCAGTTGCCGGTACTAATCGAAATATTACTGCGGACAATTGGTTCAGCAGTTTATCACTTGTTAATAATTTGCTAAACTTACATATTTAGGTACTGTAAGAAAAAACAGGCGTGAGGTTCCTCAAGAATTCCTACCTCAAAGGAATCGGGAAGAGAAGTCATCTCTTTTTGGATTTCAAGCAGATTGTACATTGGTGTCTTACTGTCCAAAGAAAAACAGGTCAGTGGTATTGATGTCTTCCTTCTTATTGCTCTCTAACTAGTCAGATTTTTTTTTTATTTTAACTCAATATGATTTATAATAATAATAATAATAATAATAATTAAAAAATGCATGATATAGTGTTTTATTGACACCATACAAAATAGATCAATATTTCGGTTCATAAACTAGTTCATATCATTAAGAATAGTTCAGAGAATATTCCCAATCATACATTATAATTTAAAATTTGAAAATTATATGCTTTATAGAGGAATTAAAATGGTCTACAATGCACGTCCCAATATACCAGGTGACTAACGTAGGGTTAATAAAGATTGGAAATCATAAATCATCAATAATTCATTTAAAATTACCTATTATACCCTAACACCATCTATCGCCCGTCCATGAACTCTTGGGATGAAAAGAATTATTTACTTTAGTCAAATGTATTAAGTCATACGGTGACTATACCAATTAAAGTAGTTTTAGCTCTAATTTAGTATCGAAATACAGTTGTTACCAACACAAGAAAAGAAGAAACGACATATATTGGTCACGTGGCCAATAGCTGAAAAGGAGTAAAACAGTGATTTAAGTTTTCACGTGATGCCTTTATTTTGGATATTGTGGTTATTTTGACAATAATATTACTTACTTGATAGTAAATGCTGAATTTTTATATTGCTTATACAATACAGAATCAATAAACGCGCGGACTGTAATTATTACAGTCCGCGCGTTATATCTTGGCGAAGCTCGACACATGTGGGCGTAGCCGTCGTAAGTAATACTAAAGACAAGGATGGCAAATTATACTGATTATCAGAAAAAGGAAACAAACTATAATTGGCCGTGGTTTAAACCACGTATATTCGTAATTACAAAATATAGTTGCCGTGTTATTTTAAATCTTAGGAGAACGACTATAATCATTTAATATTTACTTATTGGTTTAAAAACTTAAAAAATAACTAAAAATTAATAATATGTTAAAAATAATTTTGTTTAGTTAACTTTCTTTCTTTTTATATTAAGAAGTAAGGAAACAACCCTTTTAGGAAACAAAAATAGCATATGGCAACAGTGCGGCATGCAGCCAGATACAGTGGGCAGTGTTTATATAAGTTTGACACTCGTTATATTCCATTGTATTGTATTGTATTGTATTGTATTGTATTCCTTTTAATACAATTTTACATGATATAACTAAATATATTAAACTTGTGAATTGAGAGTGAAAATATGAAATTATTATATATAAAGAATTTTATCCTAACCTCGAAAGTTCCATTCATTGAAAATAAAAAACTTCATCAGGAATCCAATGATTTTTTCGAATAATCTTACAGATAATAAAAGTGGTAATAAATTACCTACAAGTTTTACAGTTACTATTTTACTGTACTAAAAAGATAAAAACAACAGTTTATGAAGGATAAGATAATAAGGTAAGATAATGATTGAAAAAGTTAAATTTTTGTGGATATTTGATCGTATTTCTATACTAGATAATAAACGATGTATTCAAAAATTAGAGCGCTTGCATAAAGAATACAGAAAAGTGCATAAAAATGCAGGTATTATCAAATCAGCGAAAGAAGCAAGAGTTTTTAAGTTTATTTGATATAGCTCAAAGTCGAGTTTAATAAAATAAATAATAAAAATTTAAAATCGAATAAAATCTGTAATATTTGGATTTTTTAAATAAAATTTTAAATTTGTCGATAAATTATAGGAGATAATAAATTGCACCACTTTAATTTGAATTATCTCAAATAGGGGGGCCTGTAGGAGGGTGAGGCAACAGGAAAAACTAACTTTTTTTCGCAAACTTCAATTTAATTTCTGTTTGCGCCGAACTTGTTTATTTAATGTCATTATAAACTATTATAAATTTGGTGTGGGTCCCATTAAAGATAATATATCTTATTATTATTATCTTTGGGTCCCATGTCTAATAACTGGGATATTGAAATACATAAAATCCACCAGCCGCCACTGCGTACGAGGCAGACGTGTGGAAAGGTAAGTTTATTTTTTCTTCTCTCTATAGTGTACCTAACCAATTTAGTGTTTTTAATGGGTAGCTATGGATTTTGTTGGTACACTAATAAAACAATATTTCGAAATGGGGTTTCAGCAAAAAGAAATATTATCATTTCTTAAAGGCAAGCAACATATTTTATAAGCCCAAGAACCTTTAAACGGCACCTGTGCAGACTCGATCTTGTAAGAAGGAAATTTAGTCCTTTAGAGAATGTCTATGCTTTTATTCTGTCTCTTATCACTACTTCTGCCCAATTACATGTATACAGGTGGATGCATTTAAGGTGCATTCAGCATGGACTTGTCGTTAGTCAAAAGGTGGTGCGACAAATACTTCTTGAGGTAGATCGGAAGGGCGTAAAATATTGAAGAAGAAGATTAAGACGTTGTCAATATAGCAGAAGGGGACCAAATTATCTTTGGTATGTAGATTCCTACGACAAATTAAAAAGATACGGGATTTGCATAAACAGTTGTATTGACGGTTTTTCGAGGCACATTATCTGGGTACGAGCTAGCACAACGTCTAGTGATCCAAAAGTTATTGCAAGCTATTAGCCGACAGCTGTTGGATGTCCACTTACCATGGATGTCCACTTACCATAAGAAGTGATTGTGGGACAGAAAATTTAATGCTGGAAACTTTGCAAAGTGTTTTTTGGGATTGCTTTGGAAACAGAAGTGAAAGGTCTTTGCATATAAAAGGAAGAAGCACTGCGAATCAGCGCATAGAGTCATGGTGGTCGATATTGAGAAAGGAAAATGCCCAGTACTGGATCAATTTATTGGAATCCATTAGAGATGAAGGGTTATTCACCGGGAGCTACTTGGATAAAGCTTTAATCCAATTTTGTTTTATGGATATAGTACAAGTAGGTTGGGTTTTGCCTTCTTTATAAGAGTATAATCCAAACCTTAAGGTTTATAAATTTATTGTTTACAGAGTGAGTTGGATGAAATTTGTTCCCAGTGGAATACACATAGAATCAGGCAATCGAGGAATGCTATCGCACCCACAGGACGTCCAACAGTTATGTTTGAATTACCAAGAAATTATGGCTGTTTAAATTATTTAATAACCATTCCAATAGAGGCAGTAAACAATTTAAAAAGAGACGCTGAAGTAACTAGTGAAGTTATTTTTTTTGATAGAGATGTCGAAAATGTATGTATGTGCGTCATGACAGAAAATGGCTGGACAAAAGATAACCTAAACAATGCAAGGTATTGAATGTACTACAAATTTAATGAAATATATTTATTATACTGTTTTAATAAAATATAGTCATAATTAAAACAAGCAAAGCATAAATAAACTAAAACAATAACAAAACTTTTCTGTCCATTTCTTAATTGTTAATTATTAAAATAAAACAAACCCTAACTTCTAATAATTAAAACAAGCAAAACATAAATAAACTAAAACAATAACAAAACTTTTTTGTCCATGTTTTAATTGTTAATTATTAAAATAAAACAAACCCTAACTTCTAAAGACTTGTAGGACTATTAGGGCAGCTCAAAGGTGGCCAGGCCATTTAATATTCCAAATGTTAAATTGTTCTTGTACATTTCATAATCATCGCTTGCCACTATTGGTAAATATAAAATAAGGGCACATGTATTACTTTTTGGGAACAAAGATGGATCATCATGCAGGAATTCTATCGTTGGTTGTTGATCGAATCCTAAAGCAGGTTCGGTATTGCACCCTGTCGCGAAAGCCAATACGTCAGATAAGGAAACTTGACAATCACCATCTGAAAAAGGAAAAAATGTACGCTGTACTTTCGGAAAATTTAATAATTTTCAAGCAAACACTACTAACCTTCACAATTCTGGAGGTAATCCCTCCAAAAAGCCGTTGTTTGGGACTCCAGTAACCGACGCTGCGTACCAACAGATGATCTTTTAACACAAAATAAACGGTTCAGGTATTTTGCTGTAAGGTGTGTCTCTTTTTTAAAGCAAAACAAAGACGATGCTTGTTCAGGATACTTCATAATCAGAGAGAGAACACTGAGCATTTTTAGACCCTCAGCAAATTGCTCAAGGCCTCTTCTAGGACGGTCAATAACCAAATAGTGTATAATTTCTACAAACATATAATGTTATTAGTAAAAGACAATGCAAAGAAAAAATATTTATTTTTTGGATATTAAGTGGAAATTGCATATCTTGCACACCTTTTATTAGTTTGTCCTTATTTTCGAAAGAGGCCGGTGACACCCCCAAATCCAGTAACTTATCGTGGCTTGAGATAAATTTTTGAAAGGATTCTATAGTTTCACTCGCCGTTATATCACATATGGCTTTGTGAAATGGGGTGTTTTGTAAGTCCTCTAGCATTGGATATCCAGAACCATTTGCCAGGTAATTAAATACAGTCTTTGAGACGAAATTGGGTCGGGGTCCGCCGTGAATTATCGATATAGCAAAAATCTTTCCCGCGAGCAAATGTTTCTCTTTTTCAAGAGCTGTTAAGTTTAGATTAAAAATTTTGGATTCTTTGCTTCCTAAAATATAATGTATGTACTAATTCGCCAATTTTAAATAATTGCGTTACTGTTAGTTACTTACCAAGAAATATCTCACTATTTTGAAGCTGTTTTAAACTCAGTCGGAATAGTTCCCTGCATGCGTTCACCAAAAGAGGTTTCTCTACTTGACGAATAATAGTCAGTTCGCTGTCAAGATTCTGGGATTGCGATAGAGATGGGTAATTCTTGATAATTTGTAGGACCATCAGGCAATTATTCGATATCAAACGAGTCATTTGGTGAACGACTTATGCTGTCTCTGCTCTGTGTTTTCTTCTTCCTCGTTCTCACCCGCTTCTTTTTTTTTCGGTCAATTCGGGTTTTAAAGTAGTATGTAGACAAAAATTAAGCCTGGTAAAGCCTGTTATTGTAAACATGTGCTCAATGGTTAAGTCTGGATCGAAACTATTTGCAGCAAAATCTAGTAGATCTACATACAGACCTTTCTAATTGATTTATTGTTTGAAAAATAGAAGGCAATTGCTTTCTCTAAGATATCTTGTTTTTTAAATGATTTTAGAACGTCAATTTGTCGACCACCCCCTCCACCCTCCTGCATTCGCACGATCTTATTATCGCATTTCCAAGTTATATTAATTTTTCTCGTGGGTTTAGAGGGTTTTTGCGAAGGACCTGCTGTGTTCATGGCTTTGTTATTATTGGTGCCTTTCGCGGGGCCTTCAATATGAGATAATTTTGTCTTAAGTTTGTGTGCAAGCGTCAAAAAAGTAGCCGATGGGGGCTTGTTTCGATTCATATCGATGGAGGCAAATTCTTTTATTTTGTATATGTCTCCCACCCGTTGCACAAACTGTCCAAGTTCTGTAGAGCTCATGGCTTGAATTGTTGAAAGATCAATCTAGAACAGACAATTTTGTTTAATAAACGAGATAAGGTTATTTTCCATACAGGATGTTTTTGAAATATTTTTTTAAAAAAGGAAAGGTTTAACTAGCTTTGTGGTTTGCTTCTATGATGTTTTTCCCAAAGGGTTTATAAAAGTGTAAGAAATTGCCTAATCCGGTGCACAATCCACACAACAAGGTTTGTTCTATCTCGTTTCGCGAATACTAAAAATCAGGAAGTTAGGCAACCAAGTGCATAGAACAGTCCGTCATATTCCTGCCAAGAGTCACTAACTGACATTTTGGAAAAATGTTAACAAATTGTACCCAACTAAACAAATTTACCATATCTTTAATATTTAAAAGCCACTAGATGCCTAGAATATTTAAAATGTTCGTTTTTGCATGGTTAAAAATCACTAAAGTTTATAAACTGATGTAAGAGATATATTTATTTGCTTATTTATTTTATCTTGAAGCTCAATAATAAAATGTTAGCTGGTGACTTCTTGCAGGGATATGACGAGACTTTGTTGTTTCAGGGAATTGCGCCTATGAATTAAAAAAAAAAAACAAAAAAAAAACAGGAATTACAATTTTTATATTTATTTACGGATTTTATCAAATGTAGTCCAAAATGAGCAGTATACAATAGAAAGGATTAAACTTTTTTTTTCTACGACCACTATGTAAAAGTCACATTCGTAATCGCATCGTTGTTTAGAAAATGAATCTTTTCTTTGGCAAGGCAAAACACGAATGTAAAGTGACATTTCTGTGTGAAAAGTGACAGGTCTGTCAAACACTTTTTAGTTTTTTTTTTGTATTTGAAAATAATAAAAAATAAAAGGGTTGTAGAAAAAACATTGTGTTTCACTTGTAAGAAAGGCTTTCTTCAAGCTCGTGTTAACGCACACTCGGCCTAACGGCCTTGTGAGCAACTAAAACACTCGCATGAAAAAGTCGCTTTTCAACACTAAAACAAATAACTATTTCACTTCCAGCCTAGCAAATGTACCGTGATTTCCCGACCCTGTTCAAACCCAAAGTGGTCTGAGAGGTAAATTTACGCGGCAAAAATCCAATTTTTAAAACATTTATAAAATGCATTTTTATGCCTCTTAATTATTCGTGACAGATTATTACCTAGGTATGCGTTGCCTTATAACAAATACATAAAAGTATCTACACAACCACATTTTTAAATTTTTTGTCACTTAAAATAAAAAAGTTAAAGGGGGGCGACATTATAGGGGATCACCTTGTACAGGGTGCTCAAAAATTTAAAAAAATGTATATATCAAAATATGAGAGAAGTAGTAAAATATTCGTAACGGAATCGCAAAAAAATCATTCTTTACAAAAACTTCTGCTTGTTTTTAAAAATGAGATTCTTAACAAACATTTTTAATTTAATGTCCAGGGGGCTCAGAAATTAAAAAAAACAGCAAAGTGCTTCATGATCATGATTAGAAATATAATACTATTTCTTATCTTTTGCGTTAAATATAGTGACAGCTAAATATTATGATAAATTTTAATATGAAAATATAATTAAGATATATTGTAAATATAATAATATTTTATATTAAACCGATTTAACATATTACTTAATTTGCATAAAATATTAAGTTTAAAGTGTAAAATTAATAAATGATATACCTAATAGTATGTAATCAACAGTATCATAAGTTCAATCATAAGACGATTATAATATTTTTATTTACTCCAGTATTTTAATTTATATAATATATTCAAGATGGTCGACGGTGACGGTGAACCGCCAGACCGCGTGTTTGCAAGAGAGTATACCACATAAATTGTGCAGGAATCAACAAAACAGTGCATAGAACTTTAGTGTCAAGCAATAACCTATCGTGGAAATGCGACATGTGTGCTTCATTAATTTTAATTATTTTATACAAGCGTCATTAAATATAATATTAAAATACTTTTATTAAAGTAGTTTTGAACGCAACAATGTCGCAATTTGCAAATTGTTTTAAAAGTAAATCTCCAAAACAGCTATAAAATCTTGTTATAAAGTACTTACAAAAAATAAAATTTTATTTTTGTTATGGTATCCTGCACCCCCAATAAAATCATTTTAAAACAATTATAAAATAAATTTAGCTCAAGCCTAAATAGATTTATAACTATTGATTTATAACCAATGGTTATTAACCATGTATAACACATTTGATTCGAAGCCTTTGTTTTATTGTTTATGTTTTATTAATCAGTCTCAACAACAACTATAAAACACTTTAATAAAATATATCAGTTTCCAAAGCATATTGGTGACCTTGGCGAGCTTTATTCGACTATTCGCTTTTAAAGGAAGTTGTAATGTTCCTTGATGGTATGTCTTAAACTTTCATACTCTTTATATACTTATCACCCTTTTTATATAATAGATGAAATAAAAATAAATTTTCCTTCTATAGGTGACATTATAGGGGATCACCTTGTACAGGGTGCTCAAAAATTTAAAAAAATGTATATATCAAAATATGAGAGAAGTAGTAAAATATTCGTAACGGAATCGCAAAAAAATCATTCTTTACAAAAACTTCTGCTTGTTTTTAAAAATGAGATTCTTAACAAACATTTTTAATTTAATGTCCAGGGGGCTCAGAAATTAAAAAAAACAGCAAAGTGCTTCATGATCATGATTAGAAATATAATACTATTTCTTATCTTTTGCGTTAAATATAGTGACAGCTAAATATTATGATAAATTTTAATATGAAAATATAATTAAGATATATTGTAAATATAATAATATTTTATATTAAACCGATTTAACATATTACTTAATTTGCATAAAATATTAAGTTTAAAGTGTAAAATTAATAAATGATATACCTAATAGTATGTAATCAACAGTATCATAAGTTCAATCATAAGACGATTATAATATTTTTATTTACTCCAGTATTTTAATTTATATAATATATTCAAGATGGTCGACGGTGACGGTGAACCGCCAGACCGCGTGTTTGCAAGAGAGTATACCACATAAATTGTGCAGGAATCAACAAAACAGTGCATAGAACTTTAGTGTCAAGCAATAACCTATCGTGGAAATGCGACATGTGTGCTTCATTAATTTTAATTATTTTATACAAGCGTCATTAAATATAATATTAAAATACTTTTATTAAAGTAGTTTTGAACGCAACAATGTCGCAATTTGCAAATTGTTTTAAAAGTAAATCTCCAAAACAGCTATAAAATCTTGTTATAAAGTACTTACAAAAAATAAAATTTTATTTTTGTTATGGTATCCTGCACCCCCAATAAAATCATTTTAAAACAATTATAAAATAAATTTAGCTCAAGCCTAAATAGATTTATAACTATTGATTTATAACCAATGGTTATTAACCATGTATAACACATTTGATTCGAAGCCTTTGTTTTATTGTTTATGTTTTATTAATCAGTCTCAACAACAACTATAAAACACTTTAATAAAATATATCAGTTTCCAAAGCATATTGGTGACCTTGGCGAGCTTTATTCGACTATTCGCTTTTAAAGGAAGTTGTAATGTTCCTTGATGGTATGTCTTAAACTTTCATACTCTTTATATACTTATCACCCTTTTTATATAATAGATGAAATAAAAATAAATTTTCCTTCTATAGGTGACTTTATTGGTCAACGACTCGTGTCTGTCTACAATAATTGTCAATCAATCAATTGTCATCAATTATTGATGACTACTTTATTTTTATACAGGTTAATTAATTTACAGCATAAAGTTGAATAATATTAATACAAAAATTGCTGATAGCTAATATTTAGCAGGAAATCGATTAACTTAATAATCGGGCTTAACAACCTTAAATATGATTACATTGCACCTCCCTCGGGGCGAAAAGGAAAAAAAAGAAAACATTTTTTTTTCATTTAAAATATGGCTTAATTCTATTTTTATGTACTTCCATTAATTTATTATTTACATTAATTATAATATTTGGTGATTTAATTTCTGTTACTTGAAAAGGTCCATGATAAAGAGGTTCCATTTTGTTACCTGATTTATTTTGTAACATTATTAATTCTCCAACATTATAATTATAAGTTTTAGATTGCTTATCATAATTTTCTTTTCTTTTAATTTTTGAATAAATTAGATTTTCTCTTGCATCATGCCAAGCATGTTGCAATCGATATTTAAGTTCAAGTGGGTAACTTTCAAAATTATACAATGGTTCTATTTTATTAGTTATGTTTGAAGGTAGGTTGCACGTTTTACCGAATAATAACTCGAATGGTGTATATTGTGTTTCGGTATGTACTGTATTATTGTAAGAAAAACACCAGTACGAAATCCAAGTGCTCCAAGCATCTGACTGTTCTGATATATGTTTCCGCAAATA